CATAAAAGACATGGAATCAATATTCGTTTTTAGGTATGGTAAAAATAAATATTTTTGGCTGTCTGTTTCTGTTGAGCCTGATGAGAAAAAACGTTCACTATTTCAAGTGTGAGAAAAGAAACTAGGAAATAGAGCTCCGCATTCAGGCCTCCTTTACTCATTTTCCTTGTCCTTTCCCGCGCTAGTAAGGACCCCAACTCCTCCAGGCAGTATTGTGAAGTCGTGTCAGAATGAAGCCGTTCTCTCTATTTTGAGAGAAAAAGAGAAAAACCTGTTCCCCTTCCCTCTTTTCTCCGAATTTTTGAAAAGGCTGAAGCACACTCAGTATACCCTAGCCAAAGGAACGACTTACTTTCCCATTCAGAGTGTCAGAGCAAAGGCGAAACAGGAGTAGTGACTTTAGGATTAGGCATGGGTTCCCGTTCGTGTCGCATGGACCATGTCACTCGGTTGCCATGTTCTGGAATGGATTCAGGTGAGGACGAAAGTGTACTTAACCCTGTTATTCCCAAGCATAATCATATCCCATAATGAATGTATTATTAATATTGCTACTCATTCTTACTACTAATTATGATTAATATTAAATATTATTATTGTCACTACTTTCAGACTAAGTCACAGAAAAGGTGAAGAAAATTTTTTTCCTTCAAATTTCGGGAAGCGCCGCGGACCGGATGGAATGTCACCAAAGGCGGTAGGTTGGGCACCGCTGATGTAGATGGACCCTCAATGCTGAAAGGGGCGTCCTTCCAGCGCAGGGAGCGGGGGAGGAGCTTCCCTGCTTCAGCTTTCATGGTCACAACCAAGCAGTTCCCCTTCAGTCTGTGATCGTGAAGCTGCATTAGTGCATCGTCTCAAAACACACCAGACGCATTTCCTTTGTTGTCAAGTTTCAGCTTTATTTGCTCAACTTGTGGTCTCGGGCTTTTTTTGGCTCCAGTCATAACCTGCATTCTTCACTCCTGTCTCTTCCGTTTCATTTCCTTTTCCTCCTATCTCTCCTTCCCATATTCATATTTTAAAAGTATTTGGTGTCCTGCTTTCATTCATATTATTTCCATTGTCTTTCTTTCACTGTTTTTTTTTTACTTTTCAAGTAATTTCAGTTATTCAATTTTACTATATCCGAATTTCCCTACTGATTACTTTTTTTTCCCCATTTCGAGAGCACCCGTTTCGATAGCCCAGTCCAGTGATGACAGAAAGGTCTCCTTCAACACCTCATCCCAATGACTCACCTGGGGACCATCCTGCTTCATCTGCGCGTAAGTTCGACTAATTCAGTTCGCCTGATACTCGTTGGTTCAAAATTAATTACAATGGTTTTATTTTCATTAGCAAAGCAGAGCTTTAGTCATTTTTAGTTTATCACTAAAGAACTAAGTTTTCATCAATTTCTTCATATTTAAAATTTCCAACAAACTTCTTCCCAGCAAGAAAGTGACTGCAACTGTCGAACAGACTCCCATTGCTTGCAACATACGTACTCTAGCTCAATCAATCCACGTATATATGTCAAATTAGAAGGAAGCTGCATCCCATCATTCAATCCTTAATGAACTGAAGTGGGAAGTGAGGCCTCTTGTGTAAGATATTGATTAAATTAAATTTATTTTAGGCCATTCGGTATAACGCATTTAGAATATTCATACCATATGCAGTGAAGCGCAAAATGTCTGCGCATGCATGCAAAACATCATCGATATTCTTATATACGGGCGATTCCATGCCAACTCACTGAGGGATGACACTCGACCATCTCAGAAAAAAACTGAATTTTTTTATTGTTAACAGGTCTTACACGAAACTCCTAATTCCAAAATGTTTTATTTTTCTTTCTGTTTGTACATGTGATATGAATTTCGTTGCTATTTCGTAGAAGTCGTTGCAAAAAACATATTGCTGTGCTATCTTCCACCTCACGGACTCCAATGAATCTCAAAGAGCACCGCGTTTTTTTTTGTCTCACCCTGTATAAATTTTTGACTTTTCTTGCCCACGTGTCGAAAATGGTAGTTGAATAACCCGTTTTTTGCGCTCCTAGCAAAGTTTGACCTCATTTTTCGCAATGTAAAATTCCACATAAAAATATGACTCCTATATCATTCGAAAGAGCATTCAAAGATCTATTTGACGACGTGAGTTTCGTTATGTTAGTCAGGTATCGAAATGTTATGATTTTTCGAATAGTGCTAGGTTGTGGCATTGGTTCTATTCGATATTGCCTTTGGTAAAAACTTGCTCGACTGCTTCATTTATATTATATTATTTATTCTATGGCATTTTTTTATGGCATTCATATTCCATTCCACATTATAATATCTTATGTTTCTGCGCAGAGTGTGCAGTTTTCAGTTTCAACAAGAAGTGGATATACTTCCAAGCCAGAAGCAGGAGTATCATCGTCATGGTCAGCGAAAATAAACAAGACCGAGGACGCCCTTTGAAGACCAAAGGGAACAAGGAAGAATACCCCGGCATCATATCTGCAAAACCCCACGAGAATCCATGCAATGTTGAGGTAAGGTCCTCTGCACTCCACAGTAGTGTGTCCTTTCAGTGTAATAGATAGCTGACCGCTTTCTTTTTCGGAGAAAGCGCGAACTTCTTTTAAGAGTCTGGAAAGGGCGTTGGCCCCTTCGCTTCTTGCTTCAAAAGAAGTGTTATATACAGTACAGACTGCCCATAACGTCTCGGGTGGTTTTAAAAAGTGCATAACCTAACGATTACATCAAATTAGACTACAGCCAAAATAGGTGCAATTTATTGAAATATTTGCTAATTTTG